CGAATAATCGTAAATTACAAAATTAGTGACCCGTCGTTTTGATCCGTAAATCTAGTGTTAAATATCTTGAATAAAAAAAATAACAGCAAATATCACAGCAGCAATAATAAATCCAATAAATGCGAAAAGCGCGTCGTTATAAGATATCCCTTAACCCCGATTGATAAAAATAGTGTTGAAAATTATTAAAAGGCTGTCCTTGTCTTCGATAAAGATAGCGTCGATGCTAGATCATCGCGGACAAAATAAAATTTCGATCGATATCTCCGTCGTCGCAATTTTTCTACGAAAACGCGTATTTCTCTGATGCTGTAACGACCGGCAGAAATTCTTCGGGATGATAGCGACGGTCCGTCAAGCTCGTCACGCAACCAGCAAACGCACGTTTCCCCCGCATTCGTCATCGTTCCGCGTGTCTCGGAGGGCCGCTGCCGCGATCCAACGAGGGCTCTAGATCCGGCCGACATCCCCAATCAATTAATTAAGCGAGCGAACGCCGTGTTACTCGGGGGCGCCTAATTAATCGAGCAGGCCCGAACAGGCCGGCTACACCTCGCACACGATCTTAACGGTTAAAGTACCATTGTATCGCGGGGAAACGGTTACGCCTGCTCTTCGGCATGCCGAAAACGGGGCACGCCGGTGTCCAGCCGCGCGATCCTGCACCGTGACGTTGATCGATGGATCATCGATCGCGCGCCGTCCCGTTTCCATTCGGTCTCACCTCGACCACGATCGGGACGACTGACGTAATCCACGGCCGGCGTCGTCTAAATCGTTTCCTCGAGCATTTTTTTCCCGATTCCAATTCCGCTGCCTCCGTGTTGCGTGATATTGCGTGACTTGACTAGTTTTTTTGGGAGCGGTTGTCATTTTTCGGCTATTCAAGCCGTTGCGAACGAACCTCTCGTTCTGAGGTCGTTCCAGGCCGACGACCTCTATGATTGCCGAATCGTTCCTTTTTTTAAAGACAAAAATGGATAAAAAACATTCAGGTACTTCTATCGGACAATTCGTTAGAAAATCCACAATTATTGATCTTTCGGTAATATTTTTGGCAAGGTGAACGCAATTTATAAGGAACGAAGATGTAAAGAGACTTTGCGTTTGCTTTGTCTTTTTTCTGTCAATTCTACGTATGCACGGCAGATCTGCCCAACCTGGCCGATATCCAAGTTCACGGTGCAGTTCTTGAAGAGCCGAAGATGGTCGAGATACAGTGGCAAACGTGCATGGCCAGCTAGTTAAAAATCCGATCGATAAGCAGCCTCTGACGACCCAGCGTCCGTGCGGCGAATAATTAACGGCGCGACAGATAGCAGCGTTTTTAATTAAGGAAATCTAAGTCAGTCGAGTGCAACGTCACTTTGGACGGACGTAACGCAGCCGGTCGACGGCGGGACGGCACGCAACGCTAATCACGATCGACCCAGCTTAGCGTTTCAATTCCGAAATTTTTGGTCGGCCGCGCGCGCGCGACACCCCGGGACGGTGTTAATGAACAGCGTAATGCAAGTGGTCCGGGAAAAAGACGGCGGGCCCCGGGGGGCGGGTGCGAACAGGCTGGCAAGGCTCTTTGGTCTAATCCGCGTTTCATCAGCGTTACGTGCGCCCGATGTGCGCGTCTTACGACACCGCGGGACTATTAAACGGCGTGCAGATCGAGGCAAGAAACGTGTGCACGATTATGTCGCAACGCTGAAATGGATCTGTCCACGTGGCCTTCTAGCCTCGATGTCGCTCGTTTTAGTGACAAGTCTAATTGATTACGCTCGGCTCTAATTACGCAGAAATAGACAAGCGCGGGGCTCGCTTCTGTCGGGGCGGCCGGTCAACGAAAATAAATTGAACGCTCCTCGATATCAATTGAAGCGGGTCCCCCAGAAAACGCGGACCCGTCTACGAGCAGTCCGGAATTCCGGATTCGAAAAATCTGGCGAACCGGGGGGTTGTGCCACTCTGCGACCGGGCTCCTCGAATAATCAATAACATTGGCACCCGGCACAACGCTGTTAATTCCGTGACCGTAGAAAACCAGGATCGTCCGGGGACAGAGAGACGGTTCGCAGAAAAATTTCATTCGACCTCGCCGCTGGCCGAGCTCCACTTCAAAATGGCTGCGGGCCGCAACCTTCGACGCTTTCGAACATCCTCGTACTCCAGTTAACGCTTCTCTTCACTTGTGATTTTTATAAACCAGATTCGGAAACACGTGACAACGGGTAACCTTGACATGATCTGCAGAAAATTCCGAATAAAATGACGTTTTTTTTTGTCAGCGTTTTTGTCGCTCGGTGAAGGACGGCGTTGTACGCAACCTTCGACGGTTTGGAACATCGTTTTTCCTCTTCACTCCTAAGTATATATATATATATACTTATATACTACTTATATACTATATATTATGCAGAATAAAAATTGTTTGCTTTGATTTCCAAAAGGTACATGTATACTTCAACCTTTTCTTCATTAAATACAAAAGTCATTATTTTTCATCGCATGAAAATCATTATTTTTGTGAATCGAAAATAACACGACTGTCTCCTTAAATTCTTTAAATATTCTTGCTAGTTTTGCATTCGATCTACCCATTTTTGTCGTAAGTGCATAAAATCCGCAGTCGACTTATGATGTTTAAGAACCAGCTCTTGAAACTTGCGGCAAACTGAAGCTATGAAGAAAATATAAAATAAAACACGATATTTGAGCCGTTCATTTTGAAAGTGGCATAAGTCACTTTACCGTAATGAAAAGTGGTGATATTTTAATGTTTATACGAAATTATTTATACTGAGAAAAATATCAGTATCCTGAGATAACAAATACAAGTAAATCTTCTCGAAAGTTACAATCCATATTTTTAAACGTGTTAAAACGCAAACCCTTAAATATATCGACTTAAAAACAAAGTGACTTATGCCACTTTCAAACTAAACGGCTCNTGCACGGCAGATCTGCCCAACCTGGCCGATATCCAAGTTCACGGTGCAGTTCTTGAAGAGCCGAAGATGGTCGAGATACAGTGGCAAACGTGCATGGCCAGCTAGTTAAAAATCCGATCGATAAGCAGCCTCTGACGACCCAGCGTCCGTGCGGCGAATAATTAACGGCGCGACAGATAGCAGCGTTTTTAATTAAGGAAATCTAAGTCAGTCGAGTGCAACGTCACTTTGGACGGACGTAACGCAGCCGGTCGACGGCGGGACGGCACGCAACGCTAATCACGATCGACCCAGCTTAGCGTTTCAATTCCGAAATTTTTGGTCGGCCGCGCGCGCGCGACACCCCGGGACGGTGTTAATGAACAGCGTAATGCAAGTGGTCCGGGAAAAAGACGGCGGGCCCCGGGGGGCGGGTGCGAACAGGCTGGCAAGGCTCTTTGGTCTAATCCGCGTTTCATCAGCGTTACGTGCGCCCGATGTGCGCGTCTTACGACACCGCGGGACTATTAAACGGCGTGCAGATCGAGGCAAGAAACGTGTGCACGATTATGTCGCAACGCTGAAATGGATCTGTCCACGTGGCCTTCTAGCCTCGATGTCGCTCGTTTTAGTGACAAGTCTAATTGATTACGCTCGGCTCTAATTACGCAGAAATAGACAAGCGCGGGGCTCGCTTCTGTCGGGGCGGCCGGTCAACGAAAATAAATTGAACGCTCCTCGATATCAATTGAAGCGGGTCCCCCAGAAAACGCGGACCCGTCTACGAGCAGTCCGGAATTCCGGATTCGAAAAATCTGGCGAACCGGGGGGTTGTGCCACTCTGCGACCGGGCTCCTCGAATAATCAATAACATTGGCACCCGGCACAACGCTGTTAATTCCGTGACCGTAGAAAACCAGGATCGTCCGGGGACAGAGAGACGGTTCGCAGAAAAATTTCATTCGACCTCGCCGCTGGCCGAGCTCCACTTCAAAATGGCTGCGGGCCGCAACCTTCGACGCTTTCGAACATCCTCGTACTCCAGTTAACGCTTCTCTTCACTTGTGATTTTTATAAACCAGATTCGGAAACACGTGACAACGGGTAACCTTGACATGATCTGCAGAAAATTCCGAATAAAATGACGTTTTTTTTTGTCAGCGTTTTTGTCGCTCGGTGAAGGACGGCGTTGTACGCAACCTTCGACGGTTTGGAACATCGTTTTTCCTCTTCACTCCTAAGTATATATATATATATACTTATATACTACTTATATACTATATATTATGCAGAATAAAAATTGTTTGCTTTGATTTCCAAAAGGTACATGTATACTTCAACCTTTTCTTCATTAAATACAAAAGTCATTATTTTTCATCGCATGAAAATCATTATTTTTGTGAATCGAAAATAACACGACTGTCTCCTTAAATTCTTTAAATATTCTTGCTAGTTTTGCATTCGATCTACCCATTTTTGTCGTAAGTGCATAAAATCCGCAGTCGACTTATGATGTTTAAGAACCAGCTCTTGAAACTTGCGGCAAACTGAAGCTATGAAGAAAATATAAAATAAAACACGATATTTGAGCCGTTCATTTTGAAAGTGGCATAAGTCACTTTACCGTAATGAAAAGTGGTGATATTTTAATGTTTATACGAAATTATTTATACTGAGAAAAATATCAGTATCCTGAGATAACAAATACAAGTAAATCTTCTCGAAAGTTACAATCCATATTTTTAAACGTGTTAAAACGCAAACCCTTAAATATATCGACTTAAAAACAAAGTGACTTATGCCACTTTCAAACTAAACGGCTTATTTCTTCATCGTCATCCTTGTCGCCTTTGTGCTGTATTGATCACTGTTAAGGCGTCCCCTAACCATCCAGTTCCGGTGAAAGTATATTTACACTCGCAAATTATATTTTCACTTTATGTATTAGGTTTCACCGTCGATTAAGAAGTAGGGTAGCATTTAACGTTCCACAGTGATCGCATTTGGTCGATAACATACAGGATCGAAAAGCTCGCAATCACGATTGTCCGTTGTCCATTAAAAACATTCAGACACCAGTTAAAATTGATTTATTTATTAAAATAACTCGATTACGTTTCTATTAACGGATATAGTAAGTTGCAACCGCCATGTTTGCGGAACGTGGCGGCCGGTCGGCCAGGGAAGGGTGTCGGGAAGAACGAGAAATACTCTGCAGGGTGACAAAAGAATCGTCGTTCAAGAGAAACAATATGCGAGTTTACAGAAGTGAATATATTGATACAATATACATGGGCATGTCGGGGGAAGGTAAAAAGTAATTATAGTGATCACTTTAATTTTCACGTTTGCGTACGTATCGTGAAGTGTCCAGTATAATCTATTCCTTGTTCGCAACAAACAGAAGAGCAACGATCGTGTGCGGTGGAACTCGGTATCAGTTCACCAAAATCGATGTCGACGGAATCTCGTCCTTGCAGTCTAAAAACATTGTCATACAAAAGAGTGTTCGGTGTACAGAAATATATAGATATTTTATTATGTCTATTCTTTTCTTTTTTCGGTAAAAACGGCAGGTGGGTGCTTTGAAATATCGCGATCGTATCGCGGAGTCTCGAGCATCTGCCGTGAGGAAGATAACAGTAGGCGAAATCATGGTACAACGTGTGCGAGTCCCGGTGCATCTCGGATGATCTCTGGAACTGGCACTCGTCGAATTCTTTCGCGGACAACGCTGCTTACAAAGTACAAACGATCGATTTCTTTTAAAAAAGCAAACTCCGGAAAGTGATGTCCGCGCGTAAAAACTCGCGTTTTAAAATACGCTGCTCGAAATGGTGGATCGCCCGGCGAAATTCTATCGATCCCTGAGACATTCGGTGGTTTATAGGTGATATGCAGTTAGTAGAGCAGGTGGTTCTGTGATCGTCGAATTCATTAATCAGGATTCTGGCTAATTAATCGAGAAAATCTGCGGATCTGCTAACGGCAAGCATCGTTGGGAGGCACTGGGGTGCAAAGAGGCTTAAAAGCTAAAATAATTGCTCTTTCTGGATTCGTCAGTTGATTTTTATAAAAAGTTAATTTCAATATTTGAAGCATATTTGAAACATATTTTGCAACTTGGATCTCCGAAACTTCCTACGATCACGTCGAGCAAGACAATTCATTGATAAATCAATCTAGAAAGGACATTCTTTCTGCATCGTGCAACGATGACCGATGAATGGATCAAGTGTGTGTAGGAAATGTTCTGTTTACAAACACGTATAGTAATTCATGATCGTAGAGAACGTAAAGAGACATTCGACGATTATACTACGTCCTTCTAAAATATTACTATAAGGACAACTCAAACATATTCCAAAGTTAAATTGGATCGACTTAGACGATGAATCGTGCTTAAATGGCTTGCTTCTAGGTTAATCAACCTAATCATGTAACCTATCCAAGAAACGAAACATTCTTCCTAGGTATTCCTAATATCTTTGAAACAATGATTGCTTGGGTCTACAGAATAAAGAAGCGACGACTGATTACGAGACTATGTCGTTCGAAATAAGGAAACACGTTGATTCTTTTCTCCTGATTCGACTCATGGAATGCTTCATAGGTTATGTTATGTCCTCTCAAGCTCAAACTGGAGGAAATCGATCGAATCGTGTTGAAAACAAACAATCCATTGCATTTTTCCACGCCGATTTTTCACGACGGATCAGCTAAACGTTTCAAGGAGGAACGACGATTTTGGTGAAACTAGCAGAATCCTCCGCGTGGCGTTTCCGCCGTGAGCAACAGTGATGGCGCTTGGAAAATCGAAGATCTACACATATTAGTCCTCCTTTTATTTGTTCACTATATGCAAAACGCTACAGTTTACACGATGCATATACAAATATGCGTTATAATAAAATCAAAGACAATAAAGAGCTCTTATAATCCCAGCGACCAGTAACAACGTTCGGTTAAATTTAAGGTACGATCCCGACATCACCGAGGATGTCGATCATCCTTCATCCTTATCCACACTGCCGTACTAACCGCTCGTCTGTACTGTATAAAAAAAAATCAGGCAGCCACATCCGGAAATGCACAAATAAATGCGACCCCGTTGAAACGTAATGCTGCCAGCACGATTTCGAAGTAGACGAAGACAAAAAAAAAGGAAAACAAAAAAGAAGTAACAAGGTTGAGACAGTGATGTGACTGTTTGCAATAGAGATCACACAATTGATTCGTTCGTATGATAATACCATAACTGAGAACAATCGATCGAATAGGTGGCGTACGCCGCGTCGCGTCGCGTCGACAAATGCTGTTGTTATTTTTAATAAAAAACATTCGTTGGGCTGCTACCGGAGTGCGCTAAAAAGTGTATCGACGTCGCCGTTAACAGATTAAACAAAAAGAAATAGATTACTTCCTCCTCGATTCCTCTCACCCTCTCTCATTCATCGTTACTCTACAACTATCGTGGATTATGTACACAGTTTTCCTCGTTGATCAAAGTTAGTGTCGCCCGTGACGAATAAACAAGCCGATCTGCCAGAGATATAAGAACGTACCACTAAGAAACGAAACAATAACAGTAATCACGGTATGTGTACGGGTTTGTGTTCATGTATGCGTGTGCCTAGAATCACCCGGGTTCGTCACATGGTAGAAAAGTTAAAGAGTACAATATGTCCTTTGCTGCCCCATTGGATCGGTACACTCGGCGGCCAAGTCATTTTGGACACCCGACGAGTTTCGATAGCGGAGAGTTCATCGGAACCATGCCCGATTGCGCGTAACAGGGATCTGAGCTTAGTTGGCGTAGTCGTGGAATTTGAAATAATGGATCTTCATGGCCCTGTTGTTGGGATACTTGATCTTGCAGTGGGGACAAGTTGCGTCGACCGCGTTCTCCACAACGTAGAGTGTCAGGTCCATTTCCCGATGAAAGTTCTTGCTCTTTTCAGCGTCGTAGACGGTGTTGTGCGCCGTCAGCATGTGGTCGGTCATCGCTTGCTTGTTGAACACATGGCGACTGCACAGGTTGCAGTTGAAGATCGTGTTGTTGTGGGACACCTCGTGATTCCTCAGGGTCGCCGACGACGGGAATATCATCTTGCAGCCGTCGATGTGACACGCGAACTTCGGCGGAGTGTTCTTGTGCTTGATGGTGAAGTGCTGGCGCAAGCTTGGTATGGCGTGGAAAGCCTTGTAGCAGATGTTGCAGCAGACCTTGCCGTCGGTTCCGGGCACCGGGATGCATTGGTTTATCGTGGACGACGACGCGGGCACGGGCGCTTTCACCGCGGGCTTCATAAGCCGGGACTTGCTGTGCACCACTTGTTTATGTTTGTACAACACGCTCATGTTCGCGAAGAACTTCCTGCAAACGTGGCACATCACCGGCTTCTTACCGCCAGCTACTGTGTTTACGACCATGTTCGGTTTCGGCAGGATCTCCACTTCCTCTTCCTTCTCCAGTTTCAGCTTCTTCGGGCTCGGCTCTTCCTGGGACACCCTCCTCTTGCTGGAGAATATCGTCTGCTGCTGCTGGGTGGATACCTCGCTGTGGATGTTCATCCTGTGACGTTGCAGTGACTGTTTGCTGCAGAAGATCTTGTGGCAAATGGTGCAAATATGCTGATTCGGCATCGGCTTTCTAGTCGCCGACTGCAACGTAGCGGCGGCGAGGCTGGTCGCTTTGTGTAGCTTCTTGTGTCTCCATAGCACCTTCTTCGAGCTGTAGAATTTTCCGCAGATGTCGCAGGGGAAGTTACCCTGGTTCCTGGCTCTCCTAACACGACTGAGGCTCGTGAACGACTTGTGCCAGTTCATATGAATGTCGAGCGTCTCTTTGTCGGGATAGATATTGCTACAGATATCGCAGATATGCCCCTCGCTTGTGAACGTTTTCTCGCTTTTGTGAGCGCAGTGTACGTCCCACAAGTGTTTCCTCAGTTCGGTGACATCGTTGAACTTGTCGTTGCATACCTGACACTGGAATTTACCCTCCGGTTTCACGGGTGCCGAATTGGGGAACGATTTCCTTGCCCTGGCGGGCTTGTCGGGGCTGGCGTTGTGTATCTCTTCAGGTTTAATCGCCAACGGATCTTTGACAATCTTTCGGTCTACTTCGAGCGCCGGCGGTTTCCGCAAGCTCAACCGGGAGTTCGTTCTGTTGTGCCATCCCCGGTGTATTTTGAGGGACGCTTCCTCTTGGAACGTCTTGCCGCAGATATCGCACTCGTAGCCACCGACTTTCTTGTTCTTGTGAGCAGTCTGGAAATGGAGGTTCAGGTTCGCTTGGAAGACAAAGCTCTTCGGGCACTGTGGACACTGGCGCATGGTCTTGCCAGTTTTGTGCTCGGTCGCAATGTGCCTGCTGCAGATCTCCTTGCTCTTAAATTTCCGGGGGCACTGGGGACAAATCACGCGATACTTATTCGTCTTATGGATGTTACGTATGTGTCGTCTGACGTTCGCGTAATTCGAGAATACCTTGCCGCATTCGCGGCACTCGTTCTTTTTAGGGCCTGGGTCTGAGGTGGCGCTCACGTTCAACGGTTTACAATCCTCTGGACTGTCCTTCATGGTTCCGTACTCTACGCACGAGCTGTTCGCGTTTCTCTCGCCGGGGTCCTCTATACCATGATCCTTCATGTGGATCTCCAAAGCACCCGCGCTGCTGAACATACTGCGGCAAATCACGCAAGAATAGATCTTCACTTTCAGATGAAGGTTCCTGTGCTCCGTCAACTCGGCTCTAGTAGCAAATTCCAAATTGCACAAAGCACAACTGTACTGGTTACTGTCGGATAACCTGCCGTCATTCATTTCAGCCTCAAACGTGTCCCAATCTTTGATGGGCATTGAGAAGTTCTGCGCATTTTTGGCAGCTGAGTCGTTCTTCTCCAACACTGGCTTCTTGTTCATTTTACCACGATGCCCGTCGTAGTGCATCAAGAATTCGCTAGGTGATCTAAATTTAGCGCCACATTCGGAACAGAAAAAGTCTTTCTTTTTATGGTCTTGGGTGATATGGTTATGGAATTTCTTGAATACCAGATAAGTCATTCCGCAGTGCATACACTTGTAGGAGATTCGAAGATCTGGCTGCAAACGCTGACACAAGTCTTTATGCTTCAACATGTTAGGCTTGTATCTGTAGATCATGCCACATAAATCGCAAATATGGTTATGCGCTGGGTCACCGTTTTTGTAAGGATGAGGGACATCCGGACCGCCTGCGATTGATTTCTTTGTAGGAGACTCTTGTTTAGCAGCTGGCAGAGGAGAAATTGGCTTGAGTTTAGGAGGCGATCGTGATGGCTTAACTAATTGTTGATACTGTTTATCAGAGTGCTTTGAAAGATGGCAGAGCAATTCCTTTCTGTTTGGCATGGAACGCAAGCACATGTTGCATGTGAAATATTTTTCCTCGCCTTGGTTTGGTATCACTAGAGCGATTTTCATTGCGCACTCGAAAGACGCACCGCAATGCAGCTTATACATCGAGCGATCAGGGAACTCTGTTAAACATGCGATACACGTGTACGGTCTCAGATCCGGCATGTGTTGACGAATATGTGAAAGTGTAGATCTGCGATCACTGAACAACTGCTGACAGGAATAACATGAAAAAGTCTTCAGTTGACTAATTATATTCTGTTGCACCTGTGTCAGTGGCGCGTCCTTCTCCATACTCATTAATTCATCTTCCAGATCTTCAACTTCTTCTTCAACTTTCACCTGGTCATCAGCGTTACCATTTTGCTTATCCGAATGAAATCGTTCCATGTGCTTTGTATAGGTATATTTAGAATGCAAAAAGATTTGGCAATGCACACACTTTTGCTTAAATGCACGTGGTCCCCTATAATGAGTATGAGGACCTCTTCTAAGTTTCTTTTTAATCACTGATGCTGACGCGTTGGACTTTTGCGTAGAATCAGCTTCCATGATTCTATCTTCCTTGTTCGAGAGGGGGTTTAACACCAGCTCGCTGCCAGTAATGGACTCTATCTCTATAGTACAATCTGTATCACAATCCTCTGGTGGCTCTGACTTTATACATGAATCGAAAGGTTTTGTTAACGCTGGCGGAACTCTTGCATCATCTGTTTCATCATCACTTATCTCTTGGATATGAAGCGTGTTTACAGAGTCATCTAGACTTTCATCAAGGTTAGTAGATTCCTACAAACAAAATACACCAGTTTTCATTATGTTAGTCTCAAATAACATATTTATAAAATCGAAATACTCACTAGTTCTGATGCGATGGAAGATTCTGAAATGACCTCAATATTGTCTTCATAAAAGTCCAGATCTACGGGTTCATCTTTGATAGTCACAACCTTCAAAAACCACAAATTATGTATACATTGCAGCTGTTTGCAGCTTTCGCATGATACAACAAGATAAAAATTAAATATTTACCAATGGGCTAGATTGTGTATGTTTTTCCAACCATTGATGTAACTTATCTTGCGACCGAAGGCATGTTTCCTTATAATTATGCCACTGATTCACATTTTTAACACACTGTGAACATATCTGCGTCGACAACCTATCCGTGGCTAAAATCTAAAAGATGCAGATAGAGAGTAAAAATGCTGCACACTTTATAGCTTCCATTTAGCAAATAAAGGTGCTACGTGGTAAGATCGATACAAAGTATGCTTGGCCATTTCAATTCTGATCGATATCTATCAGACAGAAAAATGCCCACAATGGTGAAGAGGAGTGAGGAGTATGAAATCATCAGTTCCAAGATTCCTGACATAGGCAAGTTTAGACCTAACCTCAAAAGGAACACATTGCGTGTACACGTAAGAATTGCCACGAATTCGAGGTTACGAGCGTTGGGACAGGGTATTCAGAGTCCGGGAATTCGTAGAGCATAACATTTTCAACATACCTGAATCGATAGGCAGGCTTGTATCTTAGTGGCCAGTGATACCGGAGTTTCTTGCGACCCGAACACCGACAATTTCGGCTCGTCTTCGGAGAGGCAAAGCCTGCACACATTTTCCATTCTTTGCAACACCACCACCTTGTCCATCGTGGACGTTCACTGGCGTTGCCCTCCACGCAAGATGCCCCAATATTCTGCCCTGCCAACGAAACGCGCTTCTCACGAGAAGGTTAGGGACGCAGCGTTTTGTTTGTACGTCGACATTTGAAACTGATCGTGGAACCGAGCGGTCCGTCCCGAGGCGTTCCGCGTGTTCAGGAAACAGGTCGGAATTGTCGGAAAAGGCGCGCGGTCATGTCGTCGAGGCTCCGCCGAGCATCAACGTTCTTTATCAGACAGGTAATTATCAGTTAATCGTTATCGTTGACACACGTGTGTCACGTTCAATAAATTTATAACCGCGAAAATGATTACCGAGAGAACCGACGCGCAATGGTCCAAACACCTGAAAACGTGGTCAAAACTCCTAATAACGAATCTTCTCGCAGGTTTGTTTTAACCCTTGTTTAGGACACTTTATTATTATCACTTTTTTATAAACGTCAGTTAAGTAGCGCAGCATTTTAGTCAATTCTATGAAGTGGATGCTGTTCGTGAAAGTAAGTCGAGTGTTTTGTAAAGAGCTACGCATATATTGTAAAGATGCAGAGAAAAAAGGTACATACCTTAACCTTCTATCAAAACTCACATGTTGGGACTTTCAGTTCCTACTCTTATCCTGCAGTACTTGCAGATATTAATGCAGATCTATTTGCGGATTGACTTGTATCGTCACTTTATTATAAAGCAATGCATTCGTGCTAGTTTTCACCACGTTTATTTCGAATATTATGAATATATAAATAAAAAATATATATATATATAAAAATATATATATAATATATAATATTATATTATATATATATATTTTTATATATCATTTATAATATTCATAATATTCGAAATAATATATATAAATAATATTATAATAATATATAATATTATGAATGATATTCAAAAATGTTTTAAAAGAAAAGCTATACAAGTTTTGAAGAGTTTTGTATGGCAAACTTGTCGAACAACATATGAATATGATTCCCGTACGTCAGAATTGGTTCGGCTATATTATTTCATGCAATTTTTCGCGCAGATTGGAAATCAACGACCGTGAAAACTGTGCTACGTGAAAAAAAAGCGGGAATCTTGTCCAGGAGATGACGGAGCGCCCGAGGCAGAGGAACAACAACGACGATGGTTGGTCGAATGATCATTTATTATCTATATACTCTCCAAAATACACTTGACATGCAACTGTTTGTCGTTCTGTACACGCCGGTCAGACGGATCGCACACATAGAGCAGATGAACGTATGCTGTACGTTTAGCATGCGCGTTGTTCGTTAGGGTATAACCGACATGCTTGCTGGTCAAGGGAAAATAAACGTTCCGAGCGATTGCAATTTTGTTTAAACGCACGTCGGCAAATCATGGTTCGAGCCGTTATAAAAACCATACAAAGTATAAAATCGAAACGGTTCGAATGTAAACCCGATTTAGTCGAACAATGTATTGTAGCGCCATTTAGAGGACCACCAAGCGGGGAACGTTGCCAGTGGCCGGATGATCGATGTAAGCAACCCATGGACATTCGACAAAACAATCGTACGATCTCCCGAGTTTTCCGATCTAAACGATTAGCACGACTATAAGAGACGCATACACAGAGAATTCTACGCATAATCGTTCCCGATTCGAAGTATGCATGTACTTCAATGAACCGCGTGCTCTAAGCTACCAGAGGGAGAAGCTTCGGGATCGAAATTCATCGAGCGTTTCGTTACGAACGCGTGTGGCTAACGTGGCAGCTAGTAAATGGTTCGCGGAAAGCTCTTCTACGGAGACGGCGTCGCCTAAAACCGTCGCTCTACTTGGTACATGTAACGAGCTTTCGCGTATACTTCCCGTTCAACACCGCAAGGATTGTACACAGTGCAAGTTAGAACCATCGAGGCGTTTCCTAAAGTCTATGCCCGGTGCATCGCCCGAGAAGCTATTCACATTAATGTACAGTACAGGGATTATAATATATATATATTCGTTTATATCTTTTCTATACATGTATAGTCAACAAGAATCTGCTAGGTGTTCCCTGTTCGAAAAATATCTTCATCTTCGTGCGCCTGTCGTTTGTGCTCCGATCGACAAAAGGTTCGCGGACCTATCGGTGTCCCGATAGGGGGCAGCGTCCCGTCTAAACGGAAGTTCTGACTAAATCGAAAATTTTGAATGTCGCTTCGTCCCCCACCCCCCGTGCGCTAATTGGTTACCCCGTCGGTGCTCGGGCGATTAGAATAGATTCGACACCGATTTCTCGCATCCGGTCGTTGTTACGAACAGTCAAACGGCCGCGACGTCTTCGCGCCATTCTCGCCGCCAACGAAATCCGGTCCGCGTTCCGACGTTCCGCTCGATCTATCGTCGGGAAACGTGCGCGTAAGGCTGACGCGCAATTCAGGTCGTCAGGCAATTGGAGTTGAAGCAGGAACTCCGCTGCGATTGCTGACGAACGTAATCCTGGACGTTGAATTTCGTGTCGTCCGGGTCGTCGCTCTTCTTCGCCTTCAAGTCCCTGGAAACATAACGAACGATCTATTAACGATCTCGCCATCTTGGGATATGTTCTAACGGAGGTTCCTGAAGACACTTGAAGAAGTGGCATCTTTCTGCCACATTCTAGAACTTCCGGTTCAAGTAGTCACGGGACCTCTGATCGCCGAGCCATTTTCTTTTATACCATCGATGCTTCGATAATTGTTTAACATGTCTTGAAAGTTGAGTAATAGTCTAAATAACTTCGATTACTGATCTATATGTTTAAAAAATTATTAAAAGCGCAACTGTCGTATGAGTCACGATACTTAATTTCAGTTAACGCTTGGACTACTCCAAGAAAAAAAAAGTCTCATCAAATCGTATTAACTTAGTTAACGAAACTATAAAATTGAAGCCTACTAGATTCGTCCTTCAACTCTTTCAGGTCCTACGTAATCCCGATTACGAAAATGAATTTTTGGAAGATGGCCAGATGTTCAAATTTGGAAACTGATTCGCTGAAACTCTGTGGAACGTTGCTACCGTCTCTTCGAATAAATTGCTTTCTCGCTCCGCGATAGGCGCGAGATGGAAGGCAATTAAAAATCTAGAAGCGGATCAAGATGTTTCCAGCATGTCCACGAAATCAGCCTTGAACGGAACTTAGCGTCGTGCACCTGCGACGTGAATACGATCGCAGCTGACGCTGATCGGGTCCGCGACGACTGACTATGACTATGACATCATCATCGCGATAGGAATCCCTTTTTCGATTTACACGCCGGCGACAAACGAGCGAAGCGTTCGTGGAATACCTAGCGACAGCGAGGAAGGCCAATTCGACGTTGAGGCCGGTTTTAGCAGAGGTTTCCATAAAGGGGACTTTGTACTCTTGCGCTAGCCGTTCACCGTCTTCCCTCTTGATGACCCGGTCCGTGCAGTCCGACTTGTTTCCTGAAAACAGTTGGTGTCAATTCGTTTCAATCAGCCGCGTTCTGATCGGATTAGTTCGTCTCCTCGGCCGTGGACGAACGCTAGCGGATTACTCTAAACCGTTTAGCCCAGTCCCCAATTGAAACCGATAAAGGAATTCTTGCCGGCTAGGCAACTTCTCGCGCTCCTGACATCCCAATTCTCATGATCTCCGTGATCCCGCAACGAGCGGCACGTCCGCGTTAATCAATCATCCCACCACCAGCGAACGTTTCCTCGACCCCCGGGATAGCCGGCCGATACGTCTCTCAGTTCTCTGCCCGATCTCTTCTCTACTTTCTACAAAGACAAGAAACTAATCCGAACTGCGCGAGAACCAGTTGCTGTGCGTGGGCACGTCGAATCCGACTTTCTCGAGAACCAGACCACAAAGAGACCCATCCGGCTTCTGTACTCGGCTTTCTTCGGCGGTTCTGCCAACAGAGCCGTAAGGTATCCTATCATCGATCGGGGACTATTCCACGATCATGCTCACCGGCTCGCCGTCCCTTTGTAGCGCCATTAGTTTCACCGTAGTGTCTTCGATACGAATCCGTGAGATCGTGAAAGAAAAAAAAAGATAGAATCGTAACCCACCTAGCAACATGATGACAACGTCCTCGCTCGCGTGGTCCCGAATTTCACTCAGCCAGGCCCTGATGTTGTCGTAACTGGTCTTGTTCGTCACGTCGTACAGCAACAAAAGTGCTGAAACCAATAATCATCGTTACACAACGGACCACGGGCTGAACAATTAGCGGCCGCGGTAACAAAACGTCTCGTTGCGACGTTGCGACGTTATTGCGCGTTCGCCTGCGCCTATCTCCTAAGACGAAAGCTGCCCGCGCGCGCTCTTTGTCCCGTCACGCGATCCTCCGGTCAGGTTGCGATACGCAAATGGAAACTGATTTTTCGGTGTCGGCTCGGATATATCTGTTTCACTTGGTTATTTACCGCCTGCGGATGTTCATGCAAATGCTCCGTTTCCAGCGAAATCCGCTTTTGCCATCTGCTCGAACGCGGGCAGGTCGAGAAGGATTGAATCAACAGGGAAGAACGAGTTTCGTGTAGAGTAGTGGAGCCGGTTACTGTGCCACTACAGAATTCAGCAGAAAGTAATTTGATCGATGATCGACGATTATAACCCGTTAGGTATTATATTATAAATTATTATAGATCGTTTACGATAACTAACGTGTTATAATCGTTGATCAGATGACATTTTGCTTCATTATTAGAACTATTTAGTTGTAATAATCGAGGAGTTATGATCGTTAAGCTTTTTGCCCAATTGCAGTGGATTTGATTTGTTCTCCGGCATAATCCGATTTATATTTATCGAATAAGGTGTATTAAATTTTTTATTCGAAAATAAAATAAAATAACGAAATAAAAGAATCGAAAGATTAATATGTATTATTTGATCAATATAAAGCGAATTATGCCCGAAAACAAATCAAAGGCGCAGCAATTAGTCGCCCCACAGTAACCGGGCCCCACTACTCTAGTCGTGACCACTTGAAATATTCTACGTTTTCACGAAGATCCGTCGCTTCTGGGATTGAAGCACTAATGCAGAGGCAGTCCGTATGGGGGTGATCCCCCCCTAGATCTCATGGACAGATCAATTAGACTTCCTTTTCGGTCGGAAGCTTTCTCCCTGGGAATATTGCGTTGCTCGGTGCCCGGGCCCGAAAGCTCTATCGCTCGGATAATAGAAACGAAGGCGCCATTGTCGAAGTGTCTCCGGCACGTAATTGTTACCAAGCCTTTGAAATATCTAAGTATTGTCGCGGCCACGTCTCTGCTCAAAGGAGGTGCCCTACGCCGAACAATAGGGGTGCCCCCTACGGCGGATACGGCGTTTCCTTCTCCGTTTCTTTCGCAGTGAATCTAGTTAAGTAGCGTCCCGAAATTAACGCCTTGCTTGGATCTAGGATCGCACAGCGACCTACAATGCCATCAGTGATACGACATACACAAAAACCAAATCAAGTTCGTTGAACTATCGCAAGGAAAGGGAGCATCCTCTTACGCGCGTTTCGGTATCGTTTCTTAACGGAGGTGCATATTACTCTCATTGCGTATTAAAAATGGTTCTACATCTTCAGTTTAAATCGGACATGGAGATCTCTGCATCAATATCTATGAAAAAAGATAATCTTCTTGTAGGATCACTTTGACGCACTTTTTTACCGCGTTACCGAGTACTAAGTTGCAATTGATCGACAAAAAGTGTACAGCTTTTTATTTACTAATTTATGTTAAAAGCGAACGTTTATTTTATTAACCGCCGAAGGAAAGAGGAAATCTTTTGCACGATCACTCTAAAGTAGTCTCTTAGCGCAAGTTTATAGGATCATGGTTGCAACTTGTACGAGATTGCTTCGAAATATAAGTCTGCGATCGTCTGGTTTCAAATTTAAACGCGTTCTAGCGATCGAACCAACCGTTGCACGTCCGAGAAATAAATCGGAGTCTCTCTGATTGTTTGCGAGAGATCTACTTTTATCAGTGCGCGCGTTCCGCGAGAAAGGACCAGAACGGTTCCTACAGCGAACGCGATTTTTTTTAAAGCGCGGTTTACCAACGAAGAAACCATATCTGCCTGCTTGGCATGTAGAACACGCTTTCGCACCGGGTAATAGGATTTGCATAATGCCAGTCTACGCGGAGTTCGCGATTTTTTGTGCCGGTATTTACCGGTCAGGTGAAAAAGTTCATCAGCATTTCGATCATCGGGCAAACAGGCTTTTTCATCCCCGGTCGGTCGGTCGGTCGGTCGGAATCACGTTCCCATTTTATTGGCCGTCGCGACGACGCGGTTGGACTCATTAAGGATAGCCTAGTTGCCATCGGCCGCGTGTTACGGCTCCAATTGAGGTAATCGTCGAAAAGAGGAGAATGCAATTACCGTGTGCGTCTCGGTAGTACGCGTGCGTCACGCTGCGAAATCTTTCTTGGCCGGCGGTGTCCCATATCTGGAGCTTGACGGAAGTGTCGTCGACGACGACCACTTTGTTCTGAAAAAAAGACGGATTTGTACGATCGGTTTATCGGGCAGCCGCGTCGGAGATCCCGAAATGATCTTTCCATCAAGTGCGAGCAATGCATTTCGTTCTCTAGGGAAACATCTAAGTGACATCGATGCCCTCCCCCCCGGAGGGGGTTAGCGACTCTCACCCTAAAGTCAATGCCCACGGTAGTTATGTAGTTGCCGGACAGGAAACGGCCGTGTCTGAACCGCGTTAGAAGACAGGTTTTCCCGACGCCACTGTCGCCCAATAGGATCACCTACGTTGCGTGGAAATTTTCTGTGAAAATGCTCTCGCCGAACTATGCGGAAAGCGCTCTTTTGTCTTATCATAGAGGAACGAAACACCGGCGCGGGGCTCGTCTTTCGCCAGTTCTCGGCTTCTATGCGCAGCGGCCGAGTGCTTTTTAATGAATCAGCGTTCGGACATTCTTTATTGACGCAGCCTGAACGTTTTCGTTGCGATAGACAGGTATAATTAGAGGCACACGCGGCACGTAGGAGCATCGTAAAACACAGGATTTACTTCGGCCCGCTACCACAATTACTTTATATACGCAGGAAAAGTAATGTTTCAAAGTTTACAGCTCGCGCAGTAAAAACTGGTTCACTTTATCGCATCTACATGGTTGTGCACCAGTCCCGCAAGAACTGACTGAAAGGAACGGGTATATAATTATCTCTGATTTAGTAATCCCCTGGCAAATAAACAAATTCCAGCGCGGCTAAAAGAGTAAATCCTGTGATAGATCTCCGCGCTAGGAATTAGTTTCGTTTCATTCGAGAGAACGTGTTTAATCCGTTGCTGTCAGCCAGTCTCGAGGTTCGTTTCTATGCAAAGCGAACGACTAAAATTTTCTTGTTGCAACAATCGGACCAAGTTTTATTTCCGTTACACCGGGCTGTTCGTTTGGAAGCATCTATTACCGCGCATCTATTACTCTCGTTATTCGAAAATTTTTTCAAACTCATGAATAGACCGCGGATCTTTATGCAAATTCTCATCTTCGTACATCATTTTACAAAAATTACAGTTACTTAAAACGAAAGTTACTTTCGCGAACCAAACGATTAGTCGTTGTAAAGTGAACATAAAAGTGCTATTAGACTTCGTTAATTTACATACGATTTTCTTTCATTTGTTTTTTCAAATTTGCACATACCATAAACGCATTAAGATCCGCATTCTACTCGTCACGAGTGAGAAACACGAGTGTCCTACGGGTTCAGCAGAAATTGTTATATTCGGTCCAACGAGGCGAGTCAGTAACGGTAAAGAAAGTTAGCGATCTGATAAGCGATTCTAGTCACCACCGACGCGGCATTACTGTGGTTACCTTGCAAAGGTACCCTGTGCCCTCAGACAATAGGGGTTACATCGGGCTCTCTTTATGAAACGTATGCAAAAGTTCGGTAAAATGCTTTGTACAGTGTTGGGATGCAAATCGGGCTGTTGAAAGCCGGTTAACCCGGTTAACCCTTCGCGTTCGTACGCCGAGCGATGTAGAATCGGCATTAACTTTGGCGCTAATAGTTACTAATCTCGCTGGTTCGCATTATTACGCGCGAATAATGCCACAATTACGCGGTTACGTAAGAACGATTATAGTATCTTCCGACTGTCCTAATTTGGATGCAAAGACACGTGTGAAAACGTGCTCGAGTTGTACAATGTCGCAGCAAACTCCGAAATGAAAGGCTTGAGAACGCTTTAAAGCGCAAAGGGTTAACGCTAACGCCCGCGTCTAATCGAAAACCTTGATTGAATTCGGAACCACGTTGCACGGTTTTTTTTACGCACGTGCAAGAGCTTCTACCACGTAGAGGAGTCGGTCCGACGCTGATTGTCACCTGACAATCTTGCGAAAAAACAAGAGATCGAGATCTGATTTGCAGTTCTGAAACGACGCGTCTAGATAAAAAAAAAATACGATCGCGCGTTAAGGAGTTCGAGAAAGGTCGTATTCGCAATTAGCGGTGAAAGTCACTGTACAGAGCATGTGGCCGGGGTCATGGGAGACCTCAGGGTACCATGGCAGGGTGAACGAAGGAAGCAGAAGCCGGTATTCCGTTTCTCTGTGCCGACTCGGCTCGTTGAACGGGCCGTAGCCGGATCGTGAACCCGACAGCACGCTCGACGGCGTAGGTAGAGCGTAGGCTTGTAGAGAGTATCAGGAGAGAGGGCAGGACCTTGAAAAAGAGCTCTGCGTGCTCGGGTGGGGCTTGGCCTGTGTAGTCCACGCTGTCCCGCGAGGACAGTCGCCTGGTAGGGCCCATCGACTCCTGGGGCCTGTTGAAAGCTGAGGTGCTGGCCAGCGGACTGGAGGGGACAGGTTGGGCCGTACCCCTAGCCCCTCCAGAGGAGCCCGGTCCACTCGACCAATCGGAGCTCGACTGCCTGCTACCACGTGAACCGTGTCTGCTACGCTTCGTCACGCTACGTTTCTCCTCCACGGTGCTCATGGGCCCCTGCTACCGAGAGCACCAATTTGCTCTTCTTCTTCTCGGCCACTCCTCGTCGCGCTTGTCGTCGCTGCCGCCGCCGTCGTCGCCGCCGTCGTCGTCGTCGTCGTCGCTGTCCTCCTCCTCCTCCACCTCCTCCACCTTCTACCGCTTCTCTTCTCGCTCGTTCCGCTTCTCCTGCGCCGAGAACCACGGCGATCAGCCGCCTTCCGTCTCCCTCGAGGTCAATCAACTTTGGACCAAAGGAAGAGAGGGACGGAGAGGTCTTTCACTTTGCGCCTCTTCTGGCTTCTCCTTCGCCCGCTTCTTCGCCGAGCCTGACCGATCAACGAACACGGAGTGAAAGTCTGCCCGAGCCGATAATACGCGCGAGGCCGCGCGAGGACTCTCGCAGTCGGTCTCGCGTACGCTCCTCTCGGCTCCTCGCCAGGGAAACCTTCGAGCGGCTATGGTGGTGCTGGGAACATCGACTGAGAAGCATTCAGGATAGCTGGGTGTTCGAAGCGAACGGGTACGGTTTAACCCTTTGGGCACGTTCGACGAATCCGAATCGTCATAGGAATCGAAATAATATTTGACATTTTATGCGTTCTTGTTTCTTTAATCGCGCGACGTTGTTTGATTCGTAACTTGCATGCAAATGAATTTATAAATTAATTTATGATTGAACATACAATGAATTTGTAAATTCTTGCATGGAAAATCTACTACTGTTTTCACAGGTTACACGATAGACGAAAGAATTAAATGTGATCCATGTGCGATTCTTTTTTTAAATAAAATGCGTACCCAAGTGGTTAATCTTATCTCTCGATTCTGGCCAAGTTAAACTTCGATCGTCGCGTCGATACCCGAGACGTTCGATAATATTGAAGTTTTTCGAACTTCGTGGTTTCCATGGAAAATCTTTAGCGATCTCGCTATTCGTCAACGAGAACATACGAAAAGTTCCATGGATAAAGGTGCCCCGGGTATTGGCGCGAGGGTGGAGATGAAGCTGGAAATGAAACCCGATGAGAATTCCAGATGCTAAGCGATTTCCTCAAGAAGAAACGATCTTACCAAGGAACACAAACTTTGAACAATGGAACTATGAACCAGAACAGATCAACTCCAAGCTAATGAAAATGAAGTTTTCAAGCAGAAGATACTTGCTTGCACTATGATCATTATCGCGATTATCGAATTATGACTACGGATAAAGGACGGAAGAATGGACGTTTAAATTCTTCTCAATCTCTCCACTGTTTTACGCTTCGCCTACTAGTTTTTGTCATGAACGCGCGAATATCCGTGATCCAGCGATCGTCACTCGATGTTAAAGCGAAGCTAACATCCAACGAGAACACCGCGCGGAAATGCCGGCTCGATTACTTCTTAGTTGCACTTGAGGTTCATTAATCTCCGGTGTCGGTAATTAATGCAGTCGGCGGGTCCGTCCAATTTCATTGACACAACCGATAAATTAATAGAGGCTACACACCGATGCGACTTCGAAGCGTCATAATCACTTGGCTGGTTGCATGGCGGATTGCGTAACGGGCCGGCACCTATGCGTCATGCACGGTTGCATAAACAGTGAGCACGTTTTAATTAAACCACGAAACACGCTCGTTCCCATCAATTCCCGGCCATTATTATTAGCGACACACGGTTCGATGATCGCCGCGAGTGTTTATCTAAGCAGATCTGTGTACCGCGGGATCTGCCATTGTTCCCCGGAACAGTGTTCCGTCGCTGGAGCACAGCCGATAATTAGATTAATTAGTAACAATGGTTTTGAATGCGAGCGGTGGCGTGCGGAGTGTCCCGCGATCGATCGATCTCGAGATCGAAGTCATTGCTTGATCGAAGCAAATGTTCCGAGACGGCTTTAGAATTTACAGTGCGCGCATCAATTGTTAAATAAATTTTCACGAGAAGAATCGTTTCTTCTGAACGATGACATCGAAGAGTTCATTGCTGACTAAACCACTTTCTCTTTTTGGTTGCCTAATTGACGTAATTATGTGTTAGATAAATAGTAAAAAGAGAATGCATTAGAGCGATAAATTCGAAGCAGCTTTACGCACCGACCACTTCAAACGATGCTAAACAAAACAATTGGTGACACGATCGTTATGTTTCGATTTTCTTTGCGATGCAAGTCGGTTAAGGCAATCATGGTTGCAATTTACAGGACTTTTCATACATTCCTTACAATCGAAATAAGGATTGAGACGCAAATAATGCGTGCTATCTAAGAAACAATAACAATCAAATGTCGAAGGGAACTGACGCTACTTGGTCGGTTCCGAGGACAAAATGCTACTTTAAGAATTGAATTACCTTTCGTTTCTATACTATAAACTGTGCACGACTGCACATACAAGTGTTTGTCTTTTTATAGAGACCTGTAATCAAATTTTTTGTATAAATTCTTTTATCTTAGCTATATTTTTACACGCTTTTCTTCTGGACAATAATCTACCGTATCAAAACAGAATTGTATGTATACGATTGTCTCGCCTGAAAAGACCGAACAAA